TATCTATCCATCTATCTATCTATCTATCTATCTATCTATCTATCTATCTATCTATCTATCTATCTATCTATCTATCTATCTATCTATCTATCTATCCATTTACGCCTATTCATTCATTCATCCGTTCATACATTCATTCATCCATCCTTTCATTCAGTCATTCATTCATTCGTTCATTCATTCATTTGAAAGTCATTTGCAGTGTGCTCACAATTAATATGAAGCTTTAAAATTTCTCTTAAAATACAGGGTCACTCCATCGTAAAAATACAAAGTCTCAACGCCAAGGACATAATGACCAAGCGCAGACTGTATTGCACTATACACCAGGACCGTCCCTTAGAAGTCTTTTGTCAGACCAATCAAGTCACACCCAAGCCTGCCTCCTCGTCCTTGTCGGAGTCTTCCAATGTGTCAGTTATGAGTACACCCAGGTGAGACCATTGCTTTGGTTTGGTTGGGTTGGGTTTGGTATAGTTGGATTTGGTTTGGTTTGGTTTGGTTTGGTTTGGTTTGGTTTGGTTCGGTTTTGTTTTGTTTTGTTTGGTTTGGTTTGGTTTGGTTTGGTTTGGTTTAGTTTGGTTTGGTTTGGTTTGGTTTGGTTTGGTTTGGTTGGCTGGATTTGCTATTTATTATAATATCCAGTTCAGATCGTTGGAGGAGAACTGTACAAATTAATATTATTATCCCAAACAAGAAAGAGACAAGAACATTCTGGCCGTGTGTGTCCGTCGTCCGCGGTTTTAAGGCACTTCGCTGACGTGACTGCTCGGTCACTACCATAGAATGACAACATTCTCTGGCATAATTTTTGCCGTTTTTTGAGTTACTAGGACCTTCTATCTGCTCTGTCAAAATCGTAAGATTTTTTTCGGAGTCGTTATCAGGATATTCCAAGAATTGCATTCGAAAAAGCTTGACAGGTTGCGAAACTCAAAATATTTAACGTCAAATTTATCAAAGCTATGTATTGGGCAGATTGAACTTTGTAATTCAAGGATAGCATAGCGTAACTCTGCTATACGCCACATTGAAAAGTGACGCATGACGGAGTCTTATATGGTCACTTTTAAGCACAAGGGGGCTATCCCGAAAAATGCTGTTTTGAGCAAATCGAAGGGAAAGTTTTTGGACCCTTGTTCAGTTTCTTTAAAGCTCAAGGGAAGTTTTCTCTATAGCCGAACAAATATACACACCAATGAAACCAAACTTCTCCTATAGGAAGGGCAATGCATACTTTTGGTATAGGTCAAGATTTCTGGAAACCCCAAAATCTGGGTTAGCCCGCTTGATTAATTTGTTTGTGAAAACATAATATAGAGCCAAGTTGAACCACTTTTCTCTTCAATTAATATTAATAGATTTTTTATAAAATTCTGAGCGTTTCGACACCAAATTTATGCCTGCTTCACGTTTGTTTTATGTACACTGTGCAGTGTGTAATTTTAACTAAGATTGGTAGTTTTAAGAACAGCCTCTGTTGACACACCGTGTAACCATTCAACAACATGCAAAGAATTGATGATTTTAAGTTCTATACTGCAAGCGCATCGTCTTTTCGTTGATAAATTATTTTCTTGAAAGTGTATTAGTTTTTCGTAGATGTACAATTTTCTCAAGAAAATATTTTTTTCCTCGTAAATGCATTATTTTCTTGAAAAAGTTTTATTGTCCTGTAAGTACAATAATATTTTCCTCGTGAAAGTGAAAGTATAATATTTTCGAGAAAGTATTAGTTCCTTGTAAATGGTGTTTTTTAAAATAATTCTCGTAAATGAATTATTTCTCGAAAAAGGTATAATTTTCTTGAAATGTTCTATTTTCTCTTAGATGTATCACTTGTTCGGTAAAACATAGTTTTCCTGTAACCATACAATATTCTCATGAATGTACTATATTTCCTGAGAATGTTTTATTTCCTCCCGCAGGGCAGAGGCGGGTCAGGTGGTGTGCCATACCTGCGCCGACGAATCTCACCGGAATTGTAGGACACGCCCTCTGAACAAAGTGGCGAAAGATATCAACGAAAAGTTAAATAAGGTGAGCTTTAAAGCGCTTTTACTGTCGTTCTAAATAATTTGTCGAAGAACTATTTTCGTAAAAAAGCTGTATGGATATTTTCAAGTAAGTTTAAGCGACGAAAACGAGTTCACAAAACGGGAATTTGATAACAGCAGTAAAATGATGATGATGATGATGATGATGATGATGATGATGAAGATGATGATGATGATGATGATGATGATGATGATGATGATGATGATGATGATGACGACGATACAATATGTTTAAATCGTTTATTGAACTATTGATGTGCATATATAAGTGAAAGAAAAAATATTTCTCACGAAAGGAGATAAATATATCTTTAAAATTTCTTTTTTCTCACTGTATAGGTTAGAAGTAAAATCCCAGCAGTTATAGACATTCAAGAACAGAAAAGCACCGCCCTCAAAGAGCGAAAATCGCGCATGGTGGACAGCAACGAACAGAAGATCAATGAGATAGAGAATGCTTTCGCCAAAATACAGCAAGCCATTGACGCCAGGAAGAAGCATCTACTTGACTCAATGAGGGAAAAGTCGAAGAGAAGTAAGTTGTTTTTTTTAGTTTAGCTTTGGGTTTTACGCAACTGCATAAAGTCTTGTATTCGAGATAAATGGATATTTTTTTCATCCAAATAAAGACAAGTAAACAAGCTTTAAGACGATACCAATAACTCTCTACGCCCAAAAATTGATAGAGCCTGATTCCACTGCGCTGCCTCACCATTTGTGCTGAAAATGCCATTAGATTCTTATTAAAACCAAAACTGAGACTCCACCTCATTAACACATAAACGCAGCGGCTGCTGTGTATTCATTTGGCGTCTGTCTCAGTGTCTACAGAGACATTGTATCCCACGTGTTACATGGGAATAATCTGCAAGATATATCAGATAATAATAATAATAATATATTCCCAACACGGGATTCGAACACTGATCAATCGCAGGCAATGTGAAGATCTGATTAATACACCACACACGCCGTGGGGACATTCATATTGTACTTTGGTTCCATTATAAATTTCTTTAATTGATTTCAGTACATATTTTTTTCAAGTCTCTACTTTTCTTAATCATTGTGTCGTCTACTAATATATAATCCAAACTTTTCCAAAATGCGCAGTGTCAGTTTTAGATCAACTGACTGACCATGAGATGGTGACGTAACAAAACATGATGAATACGTCAAAGTAAAAACAGTGTGTTCCTTGTAACGCTATTTTTAAACTTTGAAAGGTAATAGATTTCCCCAATGATGTCAACTCTTATTTAGCGAGTGATTGGAAGGTGCCACTGGTAGATCCTATTTCTTACCTTTCCCTCTGTTGTCAGTGTCTTTCTGCCGTGCCTTTTCCCGCTCTAAATGACAGCTATTGTGTGGATGTGCTTCTTTTTACCGAAAGAAACATACCACTCTTGCATATATTTAAGATGGCCAACAGATAGAAACTATGGCTGATATCGTATCTATGTGCTTATCTTTACCCAAAAGAAACATACCACTCCTGTATATTTAAGATGGCCAACAGATAGAAACTATGGCTGCTATCGTATCTCTGTGCTTCTCTTTACCCAAAGAAACATACCACTCTTGTATATTTAAGATGGCCAACAGATAGAAACTATGGATGCTATCTATGGCTGCTATCGTATCTCTGTGCTTCTCTTTACCCAAAGAAACATACCACTCTTGTATATTTCAGACGGCCTACAGATAGAAACTATGGCAGACCAATCCGTGTCCTTCCTTGCGGCTATGAAGAACGTGAAAACCCTGCTCTCCTGGATGGAAGAGTGTGGAACGGACTACGACGTAGCCACATCTGGTGACATACTCATTGACCAGGT